GCAGAAGTGCTGACTTGTAAAACTGCGGTGCCAAAGTCATTTCTATTCAAGGAATAGATCCTCTGTGCTAACCTCAAGCCATATGCAAGGCTAGTTGCTGCTGGTACCTCGTATTCTGGTGCTTTGCACTGTACGTCTGGGCTCTTCACACAGTGGGTCTGTGTTGGCAACATTCTTTTCACAAAAATATTTCAGGAATTATTTTCTCACAGGACTAAGAATGGCAAAAGTATATTACTGAAAAGAAAAAAGTCATCCCTTTAGAGGTGGAAGCAATCTTTCCATGCATGGCATGATGGTTCAAGTACTCAGCATTTTCTTCTCTTCTAAGTCAGACTGTGTGGAGGAGGATGAACCTTTGATCTTTAGCAATGCCTTTTAAATGTGGTTATGGCCAGAAAAGTGAATGTAAAGATCTTAAAGTCAATATTCAAATGAAAACACATTGCATGCACCTGGAAAGAGCCGTTATTGTAGATACTGGGTATTACCTGGGGTGAAAGCACTGACTGTCACCTCACCAGCTCTTGTTTTCATGACCTTTCTCCCAGAGCTGAACCCAGGGAACTGGGAACTTCTAGTGAGCTTTCCTTGCCCATGAACTTTGGATAAAGTTAAAAACCTGAACTTTTAGGGGCCTAGTCCAAGGCAAACCTCTAGAGGCTAGCAAGGACATTCAGATATCCTGGGGCTAGCTCTATGATTAGTGCAGTCATCAATGCAGCAAAGACTGTCAGGAACTGTGAACAGAAGAACATCGAGGCAAAGGATGATATTTCACATCATATGTCTGCATTGCACAGTTGTCCCTGGTTTTTACCTAGGGGTTGTTTCTCAGACCCATTCCATTCATATATTGGCTCAGATGTCCCACCTAATTCATTAACTAAGAACTTTTTCTAAATCTTGATGTCATCTCCAGTTCATAGTAAGGAATCAGGATAACTTGCACAAAGCGTTGGTGGGCTGTCAGTCCTCCCCACTGTGTTACCTGTGTGACCAGAAGAGCAGACTGGCTTTCCTGCAGCACACAGGGACAAAATCAAAGTGTACCTCGTCTTACTGTAGCACTTAGACTTGGGACCTGAGTCTAGATGGCTCATCTAAAAAAAGGAAAAACTGCAAACTCAACCTCTTACAACTATAAACTGTTATTAATAATAGCCATATCACATATTCATGTCTAAGGGATCCAGAAGTGTGCGCCAGCTCTATACAAAGCTGTTTCAGCAGTCAGAGCAATGGGAGCCTTTAATTTGTGGCAGTTCAGTGGTGGGCTGCCCTGCAAAGGCTGGGGCTGTGCTTCACAGGGAGGGAGCTGAACTTGCCTATCACTGCACCGCAAGCTGCCGTAGACGGGACTTGCCACATTTATGCCAGGAATGTGATTAAAACCTGGAAAAACTGAAGCTAGCCTATTCCCAGAGGCAATATAATATAACGTATATGCCAGAATAATACACACAAGACCCCTGTCTCAGACTCAGTCTGGCCAGCTCAAGGACACATCGCGGGAGGCAAAAGCGTGGGGGGAACCGTGGTGAGCTGTGGCCTGTCTGGTTAGGTTATGTTAGCACCTTTAACGCCTTGATGTGTTTTCCCAGTTGCCCGTCACCAAACGCTAAGTAGCTCTCGATTCTAGGGGATGGAAACTTGCCCTCTGGTATTCAATTTAACTGTTGATCTCTTCCTCAGCCAGAACCGAAGCTAAACACTTCCTGAACAGACTAGTCCTTCAAAACTGAATCTAGCCAAGCAGAGCCTCTGATAGTGAGCACAAGGAAGGTTGTACATGTTCCCCATCTAGGGCTGTAGCCTGAAACTCTTGGCAGGGCCAGCCGAGCACTGTCCTCTTCCAAGAGAGTTAAACTGAGTCCCAGCTGGTCCTCAATGCTAGGAGGAGTGGTCCCCCTACTCCGACCCTGCCAGCTAAAGGCTACCTGTTGTTTGCCACCCCTTTGTTTTTCTCTTAAGCTGTAGATGTACACACCACTGAGAAGCTGATTGCAGCAGGGGTTGGCGGCATGCCACCCAACTTCCCTTGCATGCAATCAGCAATACTTGTTTGCTATTTGCATGCGCAACCCAGATCCTAAGCAGGTGTTACAAGCCGCTATCTCTGCCTGATCTGCTCTGTGTGTCTTCAGTTCCCCCAGAGCCCTGAGTCTGTAGCTTTTGTGGCTGTAACTCAGGGTTTTAGCTCAAATGATTCCTGGTTCAGTAACTACTTGGACCTGCCATGATGGCAGCCATTGCGTTTGAATTTATTTTCCTGTGGGCGACAGAGTTTTAAAGACGGTAGTGTTTGCAGTTTGTATGCATTCAAGCAGCAAAATGCAGAGCTGCTCGGTGCAACTGCAGCCTGCCTGTGAGATTATCATTATCCCCGTTAATGCCAGTTGCTGCTGTAGGCAGGGCCTAGCAGCCGCTTTGTCTTTCAAGGAAGATCTTTATCTGAGGAGGCAGGCTTCTCCATCAGATATTCTGTATATCAGAGAAAAGTGTGTGTAAAGATAGTTGTACTTGGATGCAGTCCTAATCATTGATCTTAGTCCAGGGCTGTTATTTGGGGTCATTGGGTTTTTTTTTGAGGGGTGTAGCTAGAAAGATCCTTGCTTTTCATTTTTTTTTTCCATCAGAACCTTTCTTTAGAAGAAAAATGGCTTTAGGCAGAAAAAATCATTTTCCCAGATATTGTTTCCCTAAAAGCCTCCAACTTTGTGTATGTTTTTAAGCTGGAAATCTCCAAACCCAAACATTTAAAAATTTTATTTCATGAATTTTCAGTGGTACTTATGGTTCCCTTGCCTCTGGCCAGTGAGATGCATAGCTGAGACTCGGTCTGGAGAGCCATAAGTTAGTCCAGCACCCCAGGTATTCGGGATCCACCTGTCACCTCATGCCATAATGTAGGGAACCCCACATTTTTTGTACTGAGAGGAAGCAGAGACTTACAGGAGATGTGTCATTTAGGAACCCCAGCCTGACATCCTGACTTCAGTAAATCAGAGAAGCAGCGAGTCACTATATCCTTACCTCTGATGGGAAGGTTTGCCCTCTTTCAAGAGCCATCACCAGAAGATCTCGTGTTTTTAAACCTTTCTACACAGGCAAAGTTTACAGGCTGGAGATACTCTCAATCTATTTAAGGAGTTTCTGACACAAGGCTGTGATCATACGGGATTGTACCACAAGGAAATTCTTTCGAGGGGCACCTTCCTACTACCTAGCTTACTCTAATGAAAGAAGAAAAAGGGAGGGGGCATTTTTGAAAAGTTGTGCATCCACCAAGAAAAAGCTGCTGGAAAGGATAAACACAGCCTGAGTTCCTTGCAACATGCAGCATTAGGCAGTGTGGGGTAAAAGCTCACATTTTTGTTTTTTAAAGGCTGTAGCCAACTGCTGAATAGTGTGAGAGGTTGCTCACAAAATTTTTACAGCAAATACTGTAATTTCAACAGGACCTATGCAGACGTTTGAGGGTTCCTCCAAATTCAAGCTTAGTCAGGGTCACTTAAATTCTAGGCTACTCAGACTTATTTGGTTTTGTTACGTGATCTGAGATCAGAGATAGAAAAGTGCTGATATTTGTAAATGCAGAGCACTGACCTGACTCTTTCTAAGTGGGTTAATTTCAAGCTGAGAGGGATTCTCATGTTTACCCAGTAGACTCTAACTATTGACATTTTTTGTGATGATATCATGAGCCTGGTAATATCTGATTTGCAGTTAGATTCTCATGTAATTGGAGGATTCCAGCAGCTGCACTTTTCTAACTTTTCAGAATTTCTGTTTCCCTCCCTGGTTATGGAAGAATTTGCAAAACTAACCTCAGAAATGACTACTGGGGGGAGGTGGAGAGAGAGCAATAATTTATTATTTTTAAAAGTTCATGATTTGGACTGTGTCCTGTGAGTTTTGAGCACTGGGGGTTTAGCAACACACCAGCTTTCAAAGCAAAGCCAGTGTCTGTATGCTCACAGGTAACCCACTGCTGCATACATATCAACATTCCGGGTCTTTTGAATGCTTGGTTCACAGAATAGGGGAGTCTGTTGCTGCCTTTGTTTCGGAGGTCTGCTCCATTAACTCACATTAAAGTAGTGTGTGCTTTTAGTTTGGGAGGTTCCTCGCTCAGTTTCTGGCTTGCCAGCCATAATGGCAGCTGTGTTATGTGCGGTTAGCTTAGCTCCATAAAGAACATGCAGACCTTGTCAGATGCACTTTGAATAAGGCAAGACTGTGCCAAAGCCTTTATGAGCCTGGCATGCTTCATTTAGAAAACCCAAGCGCATCAACGCAAGGAAATTGATAGTCAAAACTTTTTGTCAACATTTGGAGTTTCAGCAGGAAAAAAAAAAAGGATAACAATTTCCTGTTTTTAAGCATTTCTAGAAATGCACAGTTTGGTAACTCACCAGTCCTACACTTCCCACAAAATAAACAAAAAGTGTAAAGTAATGCATTTTTTATCCCACCACTAACACCCATAACTCTGACCTGTACTGACTGCTTCTACTTCACTAGTAACCTCAAAATATAAACACCATACAAAACCCTTTGAAAGAAGATGTATAGACCTTCAGATGACACTCCAGAAATGTTACATACTACATATCTTTCTGGTTGTTTTTGGACCAGCAACTGCAGGCAGGTGGGCAGGTAACTTTATGAAACTGCAGATGAAGCTGCTTACGGCAAGCAATGAGAACGACATAGCACCCAGCAGCCACCTTTACTCTTTGCAGAACTCAAGTTAACCTTAAGTCTTGCCCTACCCCGAGCAACACAGCAGCTAGCAAAGCAACCCACTGGTTTTGCATATGGGCTAATGGACCCCAAAGAATCTGATTCAACCTGCAATCCTGGCAGATGGCAATTTCAGACAGCGCTGGGCAGCTGTGGGGCCCTTGCAGGTGCTCACCAGCTCAAAGAGAGAATAAAAGTGGAGTTACTAGTTTAGTCATGGCTCTGAGCACTTGTGTTTTTTTTCTCCTCAGGAGGCTCTGTCGGTGGTAAGCGACGACCAGTCCCTCTTTGACTCCACGTACGGCGCTGCCACTCACCTTCCCAAGGCAGATATGACAGCCTCAGGGAACCCTGACTATGGCCAGCCGCACAAAATCAACCCATTGCCTCCTCAGCAGGAGTGGATTAATCAGCCCGTCCGGGTCAATGTAAAAAGGGAATATGACCACATGAATGGATCAAGGTAAGGAAAGACCCTTTCCACATCTACTGAATCTTAAATAAAAACAAAGCACGTATCGTCCATTCGTGCTCTTGTCCTGCATATCAACAAACTCCACTCTTCACTCCTTGTGTAGGACCACATCCTGCTCCCCTGGGCAGTTCCTTCATCATTTTTTAATGGCCTGAGGGTCTTGCTCTTGCAAGTCTGCAGCATGCATCTCTATCAGTCTCCATGAATGCCGTACAGACTAGGATGTGAGACTGCCAGGACAGAGTTCATGCTGCAGACACTGCACTTGGTTCATCACTTGGTTCAGCACCCCACAAGTGTGCCATGGTTCAAGGGGCTCCTGAGGATGGAGTTGGTCATAAAGTAACCATCAGTGTTGGCACCAGTGCTCCAGAGTGAAGCTAGTGAAAGCTGCACTAATGGAGTATCTGGGCTTCACTGGAGGGCCCCCCTTAACACATCTGTAACTAGACTTGTGCTCCACCAGGGCAGAAGCAACCGTATGAGACTGGAGAGCTATTTGTTGGAGAAGGGAAAAAGAGGAGACTGAGGTCCTTTACAGCAGTCTATGAGATGCAACAAAACAAAAGGCATTATACCCGCATCTTCTGCGTGAATGTATGCGACCACCAGTGAAAAGGAGAGTTCAGGAGTAGATCTGAGCAGTGATGTTAACCATCAAAGGGACACTGGTTATGATGTATCCTCTACAGCTTGTAGCCAAAGAGCTCAGAGGCCTGCCCCCTTCCATTTGTAGCTAGAGCTTGGGGGAGATAAATAATTTCCCTGTTCAACCAGAAATTCAGACTTGAAAAGATTTTATTATTGCAGCTCAGATTGTCTCTCTTAAAAACATTTCTGAAAGTCCAAAGCCTAGGAAAAAATTTCACCTTCTTGGACAAAATCTGTAGGTGTAGAAATTTAAATTTTTTCAGTTTTAAATGTATACAATAAAGAAAAACTATTTTATTTTTTTAGCATCAAGTGCAATGTTACTACAGGCCACTTAAACAATCAAGGGGGTTTTTTCCTTTAGGGTTAGTTTGGGGCTTCTGTAACAGCCTATTTTCCTGGTTTCTGAGAACCTAGCAAAGTGTAGAGGTTGAAAAAGAAAGCAGCCTCGCACTTTCAGACTTCTATAGTGATGGTGTTAAAGGCTTCAAACAGCAGCATGGGTTTTTTCCTCGTAAGTATACAGTAGATGCTGATTTTACTATAAGATAAAGGTCTTTGCGTCAGTTGGTCTTTGATGATGATCATTTGTAGACCAAATTTGATCTTGCCCCGGTTGCACCTTAGTATCATTTCTGGATTTCATAAGAACTACATAGATTTTTGTACTAATGTTTCCAGTCTCAGAACTGAGGTTGAAAAATGGGAAAATTAGCTGTTTCCTGAAAAACACCATCCCTGGATAACATAGACAGAAGGATGGATCTTGAAAGTACCAGCAGGTTGGGTTTTTTTGGTAGTCACGAGGACTACCTTTGGCTACCAAAGCTAGTCTTCTTAAACCATCCCTAAAGTCTTCAAGGGGTCAATGCAGAGTGGGATCCTGATCAAATGAGCGAGGCTATCTGGTGGTGCTGTGCAGGTCTGACCTCTCCATCCTGCGGAGAGGAGATCCAGTCGTGAGAACTGAGGTGGCAGAATCAGCCTCACGTATGGCACTGGCAACACGCTCCCACGATCGTGGGAGGAAGCTTTTTGTAGAATCGCATCAGTTGCTCACACCCATGGTGTCAGACCAACACACAGAGAGGTTTCCCTCCCATTATGCTACTTGTCTGTCTCACTTGAGCAAATTTTGGAGTGCCAAGGGAACAAGTAGTCCTGTCACATCCGCTGAGCTATCACAGGCAGCATATATTTGTGCTTTTCAGATGCTGTAAGCGTGTGTTCTGTACAGATTCTGCATGTGTGTGTACCTGTAAGTCCAAAAGTCTATGTAGCATTCTCATTGTACGTGTTGCATGTACTTGAGAATGAAATGCATTGGGCTGCCCTTCCATTGTGATCTTTTTGTCGCAATTTCCTCATCTGCTCACAAAAAAAGGGAAATAATACTGCTTTGACAACTTGATTCATTAACAACTGTAAGTGCTCTGATATCCATGGAGGAAGGCCCTCCAGAAGTGTGTTTATTCTGGGCAAAAAGGAAATCCTTTTTTATGGGCTTGCTCAAGACTACAAGATTCTTAGTCAGAAACTAAGTGTCCTCAGTCTCTCTAAAAGAAGGGTAACAACTTCCCAACCTGTTAGAAAAAAAGAAAAGACTATTTTGAGTGTCAGAACTAAGCACTGAAATAGCTTCCAGCCTTGCCTTTTGATCGCTTGTCAGCACAAGAGCTCCAATCCACCCAAGAAATGAGAACATTCGTCTGACTTATCCATCCTCTCCTCCTATTCATGGCAAAAAATTTGCTCTTTCCCCACACGTCCATCACAGTTCATTGTTACGGGTTGGGCTACTCCAGTTGCTTGTTCCTCTGCCCATCAGCTGCCTGGCAAAACTGACACACCATCTGAGTGGCCAACACCAATCTCCATACAAATTAACTTGAACTGCAGACTGAACAACAAAACCTTTTTCCCCTCCCTCTCCCCCTGCCTCTCCTTCTCCCTCTTGTGTTTCAAGCACGCTCTCTTACCGGGTTCCAGCTGCCTCATTAAAGGGAGCAGCCTTTATTCTGTGTTTCACCTGTACTTGAAGCACTAGCATTTTCTGCTTGTTGAGAGAATGGTTTATGTACTCTATGATAAAGCTGTAAGAAACCTGACCGTGGAGGGAGCTGGATGACAGTAAGGGGCAGTGTCCAGACTTTCTTCTTTTTCTTAGCAAGCAGAAGCAAGTCCAACTGCTGTGAGGTATAGCGTGATGAGTTGGTTTGGTCCTCAGCAGGGTGGGGGAAGCGGTTTTTGAAGAATGTCTCTAAGACTGTTTTGCAGAGCTGTCCCTCCAAGTGCTAAACAACATGGAAACCCTGACCAGCTCTCTACTCCCTGTCAGGTTTTCCTGGTTTACTCCCAAATTGGAAAGAATTTCCCAGATAACTTCATACTAACTGCATGTAGGGGGTGTTCAGGCACTGGCAGGGATCTATGTTTTAGGGGAGAAGATGGGACTTCAGTATTATTGCAAGATTCAAACGTAGAAATTTTTGAAAGTTTCTAGTATTATCAGACCTGGATGCAGTATATGCCCTCAAAATCTGCCTTCACAGACAGCTGCTTGCTCAGAACAAACCCCAGTGCTACACTCATGCTTCACAGTGATTAGTGTCCAATCACAAGGGATTTAAAATCCAACATAGGAAAATTAAAATCCTTGTGCTTCTTACACTCCCTTAGGCACTGGGAAAGGGAAATGGTCTTGTATTTGTAGCACTGACCTGTTGCACACAAAAAAAGAAGTCCAGCTTTTTCATGGGTTTACTGCAAGATGTTCTGTATACTGTTCATCTCTGCATCCATACAGGAACGGGAAGTGTGGCTTGCAATCTTTGCTCTTTGCTGGGTTTGTGTCTTTTGTTTACTTCATTTATTACTCATTCAGGGAAAGGTCTGTCTCCTCCAATGTGTTTGTGTGGTTCCCAGCATATTAGGCCTGGGTTTCTGTTAGGATCTTTAGATGCTTTTGTGATATAAATACAATCCTTTATATTAAAAAAAAAAAAATAATCTTCCAATGAATAAAGGATGACGATTATTTAGAAAAATGCTGAGTAAAATTTAACCCAATTTACAGTCCATTTTAATAATAGATTTTTCCTTATATGTTGCATAAACTCCAAATGCAAAGAGTGAATCAAACAACAGATGTTCCAAATTTTGACTATTTACTGAACTACTACAGATCTGCATTTGTAGCTAAACTCAGAGGGTGATTTTTAAAAAGACATTACAAAATTCGTATGATCTTCAAACGTGAAAGAATATTCTAATGTGCAAGATGTGTGCATGGATTCAGGCAAACTTCGCTGTGTAATTCCAATTGATGTTACGAATTTTGTCTAGCTAAAGTAATGAAGTCAATGCTTTGAAAATGCTTTGGAGACAGTCTCTTGCTTCAGAATATTAAAATAATGCTAAGGTTCAGGGATCACAGAACATTTTTATGCCACAATAATTTTCTCAAAACAAAACAAAGGGACCATCTATGATGTCTATAAGAATAAAAATCCCCTTTAAGTAGTGTGTGAGCCCTCTAGTGGGATTCACTGCATTGTTCTAGTCCCCAGCCTGAGCAGCAGATTGTGCAATTACCTGCTGTTTGCATTTACCTGTACCTGATAAACACAATTCTTCTAGACCCTACTGAGCCTCTGGGCTTTCCACGAGTTTGAGTTTTGTAACCTGTACAGCCTTTCCCATCTTTTTTAGAGCTGTCCCTTCTTTTTGCAGGCTGGCAGTCTTTTTCAGTGTGAACCTCCTCCTGAGGCATTCCTGAGAGCAGGGTGAGAGGCTGGGTTAAAGTACAGTTAGATGCAAATTTCGAGGAGCTGTGATTCTGCCCTGATAGCTCTGTTCCCTGCCTGTAGGAGGGAACCACAAGCAGAATCACAGTATGTCTGTTCCTACTTTCTTCACTGAACAGCAACAAAAAAAAAATCTAATTTCAAGTGTAAAGATCAAAGATGAGATGACCAAATGGGGACTCACACCAAAAAGTGGCTAATTTAAAAAGAAAAAAAGAAAGGAAGAGAGGAGGAATGAAAGGATAGGAAGAAAGGGTTAGAAAGAAGGAGGAAATATCCCACTGACCACAGCTGAGTCAGGTTCAGAAATTACTGAAATCTCTTATTTTGCTCTTTCGAATGAAAGCCAAAGGTGATTCCTAGACAGAGGCCCTGGGACAGTAATTGCTTTATTTTCAGGTATCTGGAACACAGGATGAAGCTGTACAGAGGATTTATTAGTCAATGCCAGGCTAGCTGCTTGTCCATTTTGGCCAGTCTACATAAACTTTCCCAAAACACCAAGCTCTTGGCACCCCCAGAGACTGCTACTGGAGCTGCTGGAACGAAGAGTCTTTGGACAGACAGTGGGAATGAGTACTGCTTCATATTCCTTGGACTCTGTCACTGCCACAGTGAATATACTTAAGTGATCTTGTGAAAGCAGCCTATATCCATTTACCTTAGTAGGTCTACAACATTTTCTGCCCAGAACCTGAGCGAGTCCAGCATGCATAGCCACTTGAAAGTCTGAAGTCTCTGTGAAAAGTCAAGGATTAATCTGGCATCTGAAACCCCCTTGCACCAACCATTTCAAATAATGAGGAAATCTTTATATAAATCTAAGTCTGCTTGTGGGTAATGCATGAACTAAGCAAGGAGCTACATTCAATGAATACACTATTCATGGCTTGTAGCTCCCTGTTCTCATTTGATACTGTAGTTGTTCCCCACACTGAATTCTTCTTTGTGTTGCCCACAGCTACACCTACCTTCTGCTGGGATACTGCTAAATCCCTCATCTTAGGCTGGGGCAGTGAAGTAATGGGTGTCCTGGAGCTGGAAAGATGATTCAGTCTGGTAGTTCTGTCTCATTTCCCAGTAAAAGGCTCCATTTGGATCTGGTAGGAAATAGTGGGTTACGGAGGACACAAAAGTGAGGATCTTCCCGCTTGCTGTCACTAAAGATTTCATGGTATTTTTCTTAAGGACAGTTTGGTGTCTTGCCCAGTTAAGTTTTGGTAATGCTATTCCCAGTTATGTCTGTCATTCTGATATCAGATTTCCACTGGGGTTGGCTCTGGATCCAACCTTCCTGAAAACTTCCTCAGAAGGAAGGGAAGCACCTGTACAGCCACGCGGACACAACCCTGGCAGGAACATGGAGCACGTTTAATGTCCTGCAGGATCAACAGAGCGGCTTCTCTTCCTACAGTGCCAAATCAGTGGTTGATAAAGTCACCTCGGTCCTCTAAACTTCTTTTCAGATCTGTCTCTGATATTTGGTTGTCTGGTTTTGGCTTCTGAGACATACAGAGAGAGGCAGAGGATAGGCAGGGTCCTAACTGCCAAGCCAAGAGACTGCAAAGTAAAAAATCATCATAAAAACACCGAGGATTACAGTGTTGATGTTATTTTTGTTACTTTGCTGTATCAATCATGTGAATGTGCACAATACTTAGCAGAGAGAGTAGAGACAGCCAAGGACCCTGTGGTCTTTTCACATGTGTCATTTCATGCCAGTAGAAAGCATGTGTACTCCTAGGCAGGTAAGCTTTTTAGAAGATGTTATTATCTGAGCGTCTGGATATATCCTATATTTCTGTATGAGTATTATATATGTAACAATTTCATCAGAAATAGTTCATTCCTCAAATGCAGGGGTTGTTTTCCAGGAAAATTTAACAGATCAGGGGGGTGAGAGTGAACCTGAAGCAGCAGGTAGTTGTGCCAGCACAGCTAACACCTGGGAAGTGCTGGCTCCAAGGAAAGCAAAGAAAATTTTAGTGTTGTGTCTGAAGGAGGAAGAATTTCATCCCAAAGGCAGGTGGGAAGCCATAGGTGGGCATGTGTGTGTTCGGGTCTGCCCCACCAGCTGGGCTGCCCGCACCATTTAAAGCCAGCACCCGGTCTCCAGGCAGGGCAGGCGAGGGGTCGGTCGCCTCCCGGGGACGGTGAGCAGTCAGCTGAACAGTCTGACACCCTGAAACATGGATGCTCTCACCGTTTCACCGAGTCTTCTCAGGACAGCCTGTACCTCAGGAAAGAATGAGATCTTTTGTGCTGCTTCAGGGCTTTTTCTCTGCCAGTACAGGCAGTGTTTAACACCTGACACAGAGTATTTCAACAGAGAGTTAGAAATGATCACATTCCCTGTGAAAACCCTGGTGTCCCTGCAGTTGCTCAGACTCTCCTCTGACTGCCACGGGGACATTAAACCTTCAGCAGTTTGCCTCTCCGAAGGCGGATTTTGGTTCCCTGCCTGGAAAAACAGTAGGCGAAATAGTAAAAGCTTAAATTCGAACATGTGTAAGTTATACATCTTATTTCCATTTTCAAGCAACATTCCCTCAGCAAGACATGAGGAAAAAATTACCATCTGCCTTAGAATATCTCGGTGGAGCATTTATCTCCCAGCCATGATAACTGAATTTCAGTAATTTCTCCCTCCCCCACCCCCCATTCAGATTAAGAAACAAATTTGTTTAGTGTCCAAACTTGGAAGTCTTGCCAGCTGAACTCAGAGGGTGGGATTTGGTGCACTGTCATAGCTCTTGCCCTTCTGCGAATGGTTTCCTCCCAGGCCACTTTGCTTCTGGCAGGGAAGAAGGACGGCTGTGTGATTAAAGCAGTGGGCTCTGTGCTCACTTTGGCAAGGAGGCTGTACATTAATGCACCCTTGTAAAGGTAGGGGCAGTAATGCTGCCCTTCCCTGGTACATTCTTCAGGGCTAGGATGTGCTGTGTCTCTGTGGCAGGCTGTGGGCTGGTATTTTAAGTGACCTCTAGAGCTAAAAGCATGAGTTACTACTGCAGCTGAAGAAAAACAAAATCTGTGCTCTCTATCTGTGGTTTGGAGGCTCATAATTCTCCCAGAGCAGGACAGAGAAAGCCTATTGCTTGCCAAGGGTCTGCATGTAGTCCAGGTCTTAGCACAGTGCCACCTGAGTTGCTAAATGTTCCCTCCTCATCAGTCCATCACCTCAGAAGTAAAACTGGAGCCAGAGCCTTTTTCACACACAGTTTCTGTGGTCTGAAGTTCTTGACTCATGTCTAAGGCACCTAAGATTTCTAGATTTCCTATCCAAGTAGTTAGACAAGCCTGGGACTGTTTAACTGTTAAGAACAGACAAGATTAGCTACATTCAGCCCTGTATAAATAAGACTCTTTAGATACCATGCTAATATTTAGTATTCTCTTGTGGTTATCCTGTCATTTTGACATGGCTATTTTGTGTTCTTTGTTAATGAAATGAAGAGAAGTGTATCTGTATTTCTGATTAGCTCTGCAGAAATGCCTTAGTTTATGAGGTGAGAAGTACAGCCTTTCTGCCAATTGATAGACTCCACGACAACAGAAAGATGGTGTGCAGGGTTGTTCTTAACACAATGCAAGAGTCAAACAGTCCAACAAGGGCTCTTAGAAGCATTAAGCTATATCTGAAGGATTGCTAAAATGCAGCTGAGCAATAAAGGATGAAGGGGGACTGGGGGGGTGTAACTGATGGACCTATGTGGTAGGCACTTGCTTTTTTATCTGGTTTGTGAATTTTGGTATTTCAGAGGAATTGAGTATGACCTTACAGCTTCTATTGCCTTTGTCTGAAAGTCACTCCTCTCTGCACCTCCAACTCGCTTTCTTCCAACTGGTTTCATTACCAGAGATCCCCTCCATGAAACTTGTGATTCATAGATCACCTTATGACGTTCACGTGACAGGCCAGGAATGGTCTCTCCCACATGTAAAGAAACTCCCCTTAACTTTTCACTTTCAGGATACTCGCTATTTCTGTAACCCAAACCTCCTTCTGCTACAGCAGGGATGAAAGGCATGTAATAATGACAAGTCATCTGTTTCCTTTTGCATTTCAGGGAGTCCCCCGTAGACTGTAGTGTGAACAAATGCAGCAAACTCGTCGGAGCAGGGACAGAGTCCAACCCAATGAGTTACAGCACCTACATGGACGAGAAGAACGGGCCTCCTCCCAACATGACCACCAATGAGAGGAGAGTCATTGTCCCAGCAGGTACCACCACCATCAAACTCTTTGTGTCATATTTCCTTGCACTGTCTTAAATATCCAGCTGAACAGATAAGGCTTGTTTATCTACTCTCTGAGGAATTCTCTTTCTTACAAGCTACGTAGAACTTAAGGGAAATATCAGAGTTTCTGGCTAGTGGGAATTTCTCATGTCCCACTATATGTTCTACCTTGAATCAGAAGAAAAAGTGAATAATTAGTGCTGCTTGCTGCTTCTTTTTGTTTTGGTTTTTAGGGTGTTTTTTTGTTTGGTTGGCTGGTTGTTTTTTTTTGCTTTGGAATGAAGTGTTGTTTTGGTGTGTTGAACCAAATTCATCTCCCATCATGCATTATAGAAGAATCTGAAGTGCTTCCTGGGACATGCATGGTATGATCAAAGAGCACAGTTCATCAGCAAGAACAAGCATGAAGTGGACCCAAATTATAACTCTCGTAATGCTCTGCAGGATCCAGATGCACTTTCATTTCATATTGATTCAAAATGAGCTATTTTGTTTTCATTTTTTTATTAGAAGTAGAAAAACAGAAACATTATATTTTGCAGAAACTACATTATCCTTCCAAAAATTGTTACACAGAAACATTCCTGTCCAGTTCTCTGTTTGTATTTGATGTCCACATCTGCTGTCTGAAATTGGCAGGAGGTATTAGATGCATTTGGATAGTCAAGGATAAGAGCTGCTGTGGCAGGCAACCGGTGAAGTCTGAACCTGGAACCAGAGGGAGTCTTTTCCCTGCAAAGTTTGTAAACACCACAGCTATAAACAGGCTAGCCCAAGAACTTTCCAGCAAGGGAGATACTATGAGCCTAGTCCTGGCCCAATTTATGTACCGAAACTTCCACTGATTTCAAGGGGTGCAGCTTTTCACCCAGTGTTGTGAGGGTTTCACTGGGGGTTGTAGCTGATTCAAGCAGATGAACTGTTGGCAGAAAGAAATGTACTCGTGGAATTTAGCTCTGTTTTCTGATCGTGGTTTGACCATGAACAGATGACAATTCCCAAGCATTTGTTTGCTATTTAGGATGAAAAGGAAAAGCTCAAACTGAATGTAGTGAAGAAAGCCAATAAAAGATTGACAGCAAATCTCAAAGTACTAGTTAAGCCATTGTTAGGATCTGTTTAGAAAGACTGGCTATAATTGGTGACAGCATCAGATATGTTTTCAGCTTCGACATTGCCTAGGAAGGTGCTAGCCGATACCAAGTAGTCATTATATTATTGAAGATAGTCAAGAGGGAACATCTCTCCTGCCCTTCAGCATGCTATTTATGCATATTTAAAAAGATCAAGAGCGGGCTAAAATTTAGCACTGTTGTAGCAATAGGGGAAATTACTTTTAGTGTCCTCAGTAGAAGAGAAGGTTTAAAATCTCCTCTTTGAAGAAAAGTGAAAAAAAGGACTTTTTCCCCCTCATGAGCCATCCACAAATCAAAATCTTGAGATACTTGTGAAATAGCAGTGATTTACCAGACTTTGGAAGACAATAATGAACATCATCCCAGATCTCTGGCTGCAGGATATGAGGCCCAGTTCATCCAAGAAAGGCATTTGGAAATTTTAATATAATCCAGAGTAAAGATTTATAGTGCATTAGGGTGAAGATAGGCAAGAATAATGTCACATTAGGCTTGCAATAGTAATAATAATGAACTCTAAGCCATATTTCAAGAAGGCATTTTTTCAGAGACCATTCAATGTCTTTGGCAGTGATAAAGAGGCTGAACAAATATCTGAAATTCAAAAGTGTTTATTTAAAGGGAGACCACAAATTCACTATGTCCTCTAAATGTTGGGGTTTTTTTCTAAAACTCAAGACAAATAATTCTTTCAATTAAAAACAAAAAAAATCCTCCCTTGAATACTTTCATTGCAAAATTGCAGTCTTTTGCCAGTGCTTAGAAAGCAGAATTTAAATTGGCTATTGCCAAAATTTAAAGGAAACCCATCTTTCTTTCCTAAAGCACACTTGTAAAGATATGGGGTTGTAAGTTCCGTGTTTAAAATACAACTTTAAGCAACCTGGTTTTACTAGAAATTGAGTGAGGAAATATCACAGTTAAAAATTCAGTGTTCCTTGGTCTTACTGCTCCATTTCATGCTCTTATTCTGGAACTCAGCTGCCCAACAATATACCAGGTACAGCCACTACCTGACCTTTTGTGTCAAGGGATCTCCACAGCCCAAGCACACACAGTTTACAATCCTGGGCCAAGGCATTATTTTATGCACTGTAAAATGTGTGGCAGAGGCAATTATTGTCCCTACCCAAAGCACCAGCTACCAGCTGTGTGATTACTGCATGTTTCTGATCCATTTTCTCAACTGCCTCAGGACCTGAAGTGTTTGAGGTTTATCTTAGAGGAATGTACCAGCTGTGATGGACAGATCAAACGTCTCCAAAGTTAAGGCTTGACCTCACAATCCTCTCCAGCTGCAGTGGAACATGAATTTGCAGCTTAAATTTTCAAATTGGATGCACGGGGAGAAGCAGCACAGGAAACATCTGAAAATGCAGATATGCGCTGAAAATGACTCTGTAAAAATGGTATCGTGGCACAAATTCTTGCTGGAACTTTCTGATCTAACGTTCTTTTCAAAACTCAAAGGATGGTTTCTTTTTTTAACTAGTGATGCAGCAAACCATCACCATGGGGTCTGAAACTCCAGCCGGGTTCAATCTCTCTCTTACGTCATCGCCAGTAATAAAGATTCCACAGCTGGAGCTTTGCTGACAGTTGATAATGATGCATGAGACAGTATAAAATCCACATTGCCCTCCAATAGCTGTGTTGGTTTTACAGGGCTAGCAGAGGTAGAATTGTGCTCTCGTCAGCGGGGTGAACAAATGTGACTCAGAGATACATGGCAAGCTGTTCTGTTTAAGCAATAATATTTTTTTTCAGAGTCTCTTTGCTGACCATAAATACCGCCATCCTCAGACTTTAAAATACCATCTGTTGGGACTTTGTAAGGCACTTGCAAAGGATGGTGTGACTTATACAGCACTGATGTAATTATATAGCATTGCAGAACCAAAGCTGTGACAAGCATACCCTTTCAAAGGGATGAGTTTGCTTTTGGAAGCTTTTTCCCAGAGGGTGAAAAGTCACAGTCAAACGTCACTAATATTGTTCCCAAGCATAGGTATAAGATTCAGGCAGGTGGGAGACAACCAAGAGAACCTACTCTCCCAGTGGGTCAGTGTGATCAATTTATGTGCACAGTACTTGTTCCTCTTGGCAAAATGCACTGGAATCAGTAAATTAAATACATTTGGTTGTGGAAACAATGGTTAATGTTTTGACTGGGCTACAGAAAGTGCTACAGGCTTGAGGCTTGTGTATAGTGTTACCATCCTTTGTGCTTTTCTGCCAGATCCCACCCTCTGGACCCAGGAACACGTGCGCCAGTGGCTGGAATGGGCTATAAAGGAGTATGGATTAATGGAGATTGACACCACCATCTTCCAGAATATGGATGGCAAGGAGCTCTGCAAAATGAACAAGGATGACTTCCTCCGAACCACCTCCCTCTACAACACAGAAGTTCTGTTGTCTCACCTCAGTTACCTCAGGGAAAGTAAGTATCGCCCCAACTCATCCCAGCTCTAGCGTGACATGCTGATAGAATAAGCTGCGATGAGTGTTGAACACCTAGGGCTCTTCTACGGGATAAATAGTAGCAATGATGAGGGAAGAAGAACAGAGAAAGACAAGCAGAGAGAGCAAACAAGGAAGGGAGGAAGAAAAACTGGGTTGGAAAGTTAATTTTAACTTAGATGGAGTTACTGGTGCTATCAGGGAGGTGAAGAACTGAGCAGGAGTCTTAAGAAGATTAGATAGTCTTACAGATAATAAAAACATCTGTGGCTATATGATAAAGATACATAAATTTGCTATGGAGATTAAACGAAACATTAACTGATGTGTCACGGGCAAATTACTCCATAACTTCACAGTTAGAGGGCTGTGCACTTTCCCCTAAGGCTTCTGGTAAAGAGTTCTTCAAAATAGGACCCACAACTGGCCAGAGTTGGAGATTTTCTGTGTTCTGTGGGGCCCAGATTTGTTGGAAAGAGGAAAAACTGCAAGAATGATTCCCCAAATGTAAGTGTGCTGAAGCAGATGTTGTACAAATGACCTAATACTCAAAGAACAAGTTTTACTGAACCTCTTTATTGCTACTCTCTGTCCCACACTAGAGTATGTGATGGATCCAATACTCCTTTTTGCTGCATTAAGCCCCTAAGACAGAAGTTGTGAGCAGTCTTCTGAGCTACTCCTGGAAAAGCATACTGCAGCAGTCCAAACAGGAATTATCAGCTTATGGTTAGCACACGCTCTTGAGGCTGGGAGTCCTAGATTCAGACCTTTCTAAGAGTTCCTATACAATCATGAGAATGTCCATAGCTTCCAAATGTCTCCTCTTCATCTATAAAATGGAGGTTAAAGTGTTTCTTTTCTTCATAAAGGTGTGCTAAGGATAATTGCATTATGATGAGGCCAGAGAACTGGAGCTAAATCCCACATGCTCCAATATTTTTTCAAGTGAAACAGCTCTTATAGGAATATAATTATTTGAGGACTGAAAAATCAGGAGAAGGTGCCATAAAGCAAGGTGGGAGGGCAGGGAGAGAAAGAAAAACGTATATTTTCTCCACCGGGAAATCAAATTGTGATGTAAAGGCAGCTGAAGCTGTCTCCATCTGGCCAGCGCAATAAATCAGCAAGAGCATTTATTTAGGGTGTTTCTTCAAAGCTGTTCAGCGCTGGTCTCTCCCTGTCTGCTAAAATCAGTGGGTGTTTTACAGATTACAGTGGGACACGAGTTAGATCACAGATGGGTGCCTCTCTAAGCCCCACCTTTATTTTCTTTGAGAAGTTGAGCCAAGGAAATGATTCACAACAAATAACCAAATTGTTGGATTTGAACAGTTTTTGTCCCTTGTGACTCCACAATAAAATAATTTCCCATCCAAAATAATTTGCCAATTTCATCCTGTTTCATCAACAGAGAGCTGATTATTGAAGATGCAAACTAACTTTCTAACTAAGTTTTGCATACAGAATTACACACTTTTATAGGAAATTGTAAGGCACTTTTGTGAAGCCTGTGCTGCTTTGGCCAAACCTACTGACATTGGCTGGGCAAATCAGACGCTTTGTAACCGGAAATGTTTTTAAATTCCCACAAGATAAATACTCAAGTGAGAAACTTGAATTGTCTTATTGATAAGACTTGAGAATTGTCAGAGAGATGAAGCAGGAGTTGTGTGTTTTTTGAATCAAAGAATCAGGCTGAGTTTGAAAAGGTTGGCAAAAGAGTTGAATTCTTTTGTTGCTTTAGCTCCAGACAGCATCTCCAGTGATAGCCTCACGTGTGAGGTGGTGTTCATTATTTGGGCTGTTCAAAGAGAATATCAGAGGAATTGCATTCTTGTTCTCATGGCATAAACCTGAAGACTGGGATTCAATTACCACTTTACCATTTGCTGCTGTCCATTTGTTCAGGAGCAAATTCCTGACTGATCCTACCTACCTTTAGACACCTGAAGTCCCTAAGTTAGAAGTCTGATCACACTGGTCTCCGTTTATAGAAAAGAAGCAACAGAGCACACTGAAATTCAGGATAGTAGTTCCCTAGTTCACACATTGCCTTTAAATGCCTGAAATTAGGAGGACTAAACCTTTGCCTCAGTTCCTCTGTGCTTCAGTTTTACTTTTTGTAAAATGGAGCTGGTAATCCTCTCTTCTTGTTGGTCTTGTCTGTTGAGATGGCAGATCTGTGGAATGGGGATTGTGTCTCATGTCTCTCAAGACCAAGCACAATGGAGTCCTAATGTAGTTGCACCATTTAAGTGCTGCTGCAATGCATGCTGAATAGTAATCATAAAAATATAATGTTCTGCCAGGGGAATGCCTACAATGATTTCTATGTTATTAAACTAGTGTAAAACCCAAGCAACTTTGCTGGATTCAGACGAATTATTTATTCCAATTTTACATGGATGCATAGAAAAGGAGAATTCAATCCCAGTCCATCCCCAGCTTTTATGTTTATAAATTTCTCTCTCTTCAGCCTCTTGGGCTGTTCTAAGACGTCATGCGAGTGCTGTCCTTATTAAAGCAAGCTCCTGTCTGAGTGGAGGTCGGGCAGCCTCTGCAGAGCATTCCTTTCCATGCAGCTGTTCCTAGCGCTGCCTAATGACAGTCTGGTTTCTGGATTGCTGGTTAACTCCCTCACGGAGTAACGCCTTCGAAAGGAGCTTATTGTTTTTCCAGACTGATTTCCAGCGGATGTTTAGTGCCGAGCCTCTGAGCTCAGTGCCATGGGGAGATGGTCTTTTTTCATGAATTTTCCCCTTTTGTAAGGTTGTTTGTTTCAGAGATATCCAGCTCTGCTCCTACTTAGGGGGGAGAATGCATGACGGCAATAAAACACAGGGGAACTTTGGGGAATTACCAATCTATAGGCTAGATTATATCTGCCCAGTCTCTCTCTTGAAAGGTGTTTGTCCTCTCAGGATGTTAAGCTGGATATGTGATGACTAGTGAATCCTCAACTTTGGTGTTTGTTTTCCAAGAAACAAAGCTGATCTGAACTTTCTGAGCCTGTTTGCTAGCCAAGCAAGGACACCCCCTGAAAATTAGCTTCCTTGTAAGGTTTTCAATGTTTTACACTCCTGATCGAGGTGAAAGCATTCTTTAAACTCCCTATGAAGCATGTTATTTTGGCACATCTGAGTCCAGATTGAAAAAAATAAACTGGTAACATCTGCAAGACCTCAACAAAAGCTCAATCTTAGTTTTGGAGATAGAAAGTTCAGGTGAGCTGTTTAATATAGTTGAGATGAAACCAAACTCATATCACAGCACCTTTAGTCTTCAGGCAAAACTTAGGTCTGGATCAGAATCATGCAGTTGTTTCCTGTTTCCACAACCTACTGAAGCAGTCAGGAATTCAGACGTCTCTGATCTTTAGATTTCAGACTTGCAGAACCCAGCTCTGCACCACACTCTATCCTTTGGAGTCTCTCAAAACATCCCCCAGTAGTTTTTTCAGGGAACTTATTGTCCATCCCCCCAAAGGATCATCTTTCTTTAAGTGTTTCTTCCAGTTTCCTCTCCAAAATTGTGAAGCCATGCCTTGGCTTTTTCTTCTTCTCGTTCATCCCTCTGCACCTTCGGACTCCAGACTAACTGATTGCTGTGCCGGTATCTTTTTCAAACAGTCTGCCAGGAGAATCTTCTCCAGTCAGCCAGTGGGCAGTGGGAAGGGAGATTTGAATGTTTTCATGCTATGTTTGGGATGAACATCAAAAAAAGCCTGAACTGTCACCTCCCATCCTTTTCCTCTCTAGTTATGGGGGGTCGGTTGTGTGGGGTGTGTACAAATGAAAAGAGCCTGAAGGGGAAAGAATGAGACTGTGGTGAGAAGCAGAAGCAGAAAACTGCTTTGTGGTTTCGAGCCACATATGAATGCCAAACAAAACTATACTGCTAAACGCAGTAGAACTGTGATTCTACCAGGAGATGTGGAGGGAAGGCCACATGGCCTTCAGAAGGTGAGGTTAAAAAAGGCTCCAGATTAAACAGACTTTAGGATTGTGAAACCAAGACGTTCCTGCATCTCAGAAGGATAAGCTGCCTTGTGAAAAGGAAGGCTTTATGGGGAAAAAAACTCTCCTGCTCTGTTCTTCAGTCCTTTTCCATCTTCCTCGTTAATTAATGCAAGGGAAATAAAAGAAGAAAGGAAAAGGTAGGGGCAAGCATAAGATAACATTTTTAATATTAATTATAAAAGAATAGCCCTGCACTTTATTAATAATACCAGTGTTTCCAGAAAGAACTGATTTAATCTAAGGTGTCACTGACCCAGTGAGGGGTAAGGGGAATAAGAACAAAATGAAAATTCATAGCAGCCAAAGTTTTGCCCAAAAACGGGTAAGGGAGGGAGCAGACTGGCCTCTGTCTGTCTGCTTCTCTCTGTCCTGATCTGTGTCTCTGGCTTTCTCTCTTTTCCTCCTTCATTGAAAACCCTTAATAGGAAACACATTTCCTTTTCTGTGGTGTTCCCACCAGAAACCTCAGACTGTTGGGCAAAGGTGAGAACTTTTAGCAATTAAACTGGGGGAGGCGCCGTCCCTTTCCAGTGGCCTGGGCTGCATTTTTTAGTGTAAAGTAGCTATAGGTTGATCATACAGGCTTGCTCAGTACTATTCATCACCCCACCCCCACCTCCTCAGCCAGTCAGGGCGACCAGGAATTTGCAGCCTATTTAGTCATTGAAAACTGTGTTTCTGAATTCCCCAGAACTTCCTTGTCTGGCGAGGGCAAGCTAGGCTGGCCATTGCATTCAGGATCTACTTCAAATAACCTGAAAAGGAGAGAGTGATGGACAGAAGTTTCCCCACAGATATTCAAGAAAGAAATGCCAAAGCCAGAAACCATCTGACGAAAACATGAGTTAGGTGGACAAAGCTGTTGCAATTCCCCCAGCAGCAGCGAAAGTCCAGCCTATCTCTCTAAATATTTAAGCCAATCGCTTTGGCTATCTGCAGCTTTCACAGTCAAGGTACCCTAGGGATTCCTTTGCACTCTTTACCTCCTAGTTTACCACATTATCCGTCCTGGTCTTTTGAAACATCCCCTGTCTTGCAGCATCTGGTAGCATCCATCCTCCACTCCCTATGAGTAGGTTTTGTTTTCCAACACCCTCTACCACTATGTACATTCTGGCTTGTGCACGTCTTTGGCTTTGTTTGCATTTGGGGAAGAAAAGAAATCCATAGGAACACAGGGCCAATAAGATCCAGCACCTGCAGTGGCTATTACTTCTGGCAGTGAACTGCCTAATCCTCAGCTCTCACAGGAAAGCGAGACATACTGTGAATACTACTGAGGGGCAAGTGAGGTCAGTGTTATTTGGGATCATGTGGATTAGAGGAATGTGGAGACTGCATGTCTTAGTCACAAGATCCTAATCAGTCAGTATTATAGTACCTGCAAAAGAGGTGTTCTCAGCCCTGCCAAAGAATCTGGGGATGCTCAAGGGTAGCATAGCATGTACACAAATCTATACTGCTTGCTGTGTGTTGCTGAGGACCAAGTACCTTAAATGGGACAGAATCTCGCTGAATAGAGGGATGTGTAGATATGAATAGCGGAAAGTGTCTGTCAGAGCTCTTTTCATTCATAACAATCATGGTGAGATTGCTGCCCTGCTCCAGTTCACATCGTCTGTGCCTAACAAGAAGGTCTCTGGGCCTTGTTATGAACGTCACCACCCAATGCGGTGGAAACTTTTTCAAAGAGCTGTAGGAAAGGTGAGCCTAGAAGATTATGTAAGATAAACACATATAACTAGACAACCATGAAATGTGTATTACATGCTGACTTCCAAGAGCTCACAGGGCCTCTTCTTTCATTTCCAGAAGAGTTTGCAAGAGAACCAAAATAAAATGTTTAGGAAGGAACTTTTCTATCCTAGACCGTGCAAACAATGGCCCTTCCAATGGGTTCTTTTTTGAGCTCCTCTTGAATAATTTTGTTTCAAACAGAGTTGGATGGAAAGTCCACTCTGAACCAAGAAAGCTACTTTCAAACTCCACAAAGCATTCAAGATGCCAGAATACCAGTGAGATATTTGGCAGCTGTTGGCCCAAAACCGAGCATGTGACACTCTAAATATGTTCAGAGCCTGACAGCGCAATTTATGTCACTTCTACTCTATGTTCCTCAAACAGGAAATTTTTCTATCACAGCTAGAGAGAGAAAAGATTCTTCCTTATCCTGTAATACAATCTGTGCCACAGTAATTTCTAGAGGCCCTGCTGTGATAGGTATTGTACCTGTATAATTGTACTGTACAACCTCACCCTTATATAAGTTTTCAGTGGAGGACATCAAGGTGCACAGCGAAGGAGGTAAATGTCTTTATTTTGGTTTGCAAGTGCAGAAACAGTAGCACATGGGTGACATACAGCTAACAAGCTTTTAAAATAATTTCATATCCATCATAGAAAATGTGCATCTAATTGCCTGAAAATTTTGGTCTTTAGGTCCTAGTGATAGCATTTTCTACCTGCCTGCATGGTTCCCCACTGGCAAAGCACATTCAAACTGCAAAAACTGCTTTTCTTTACATTATAGGTAGCTCACTGCTGGTCTACAATACTCCATCCCACACAGAAGCTTCCTCACGTCTTGCCACCAAAGAAGGTCAGTCTTTTGCATATAAACATCCTGGCTTCCTATGCTCTCACAATGGTTTTGATTGGGTTAAAACTGGACCTTTTATATAATATCCTTGGCATGAAAATGTTCTGATCTGCTATGCATGCACAGCATGGTTAAAATAGAATAATCCACGATTTGCAGCCCCATCCACAAGCTGAAAATCGCATCTCTGCCTGTCCAGCCAACATTGTGACATAAAGTGTATATCTGTCATTGTCACAACGGTGTATTACTGAGTTGATGAATTGATGAAATATTTTCTGTGACTTATGTGAAATAGTCTGAAATCTCAGATATATAGCAAGGGCTGAGACACTATTTCTCTTTGAGTGAGTTCATAGTTGAAAGGATAAAATTTTCTCACCATAAATTCCATTACTGAATAAAGGCCATTCAGGTCTTCCAAAACCATTAATGAAACTGTCAGCTAGTTTCAGCCAGCAAGAAAGACCAAGTGTATCCTTATGAGACTTTAATTTTGTTTAATTTAGTTTTCAAAGAACTTCAAATTTTTAATCTATCAGAAATTCTGACCATGTAGATAAAGCTTAGAAACCTTTAATTTTAAAAGCTCCTTCAGGCTTGTGAGTTGTTTGTATATGCTTCAGTCAGGTTTTTAAGGTTTTATTCTGCAGCTACAGTCCTATTCATTTTTATTTTTCATTAAATACTGGATTCTCGGTCATGATAAAATTATGAAAGTTGGTGTGATGGGTATGATGCACATCCCTTACCTACATAAGACAGGAAGTCACAATTGGGCAGTTGAATTGCTAAAGGCCAAATAGGGCATCCAAAGACCAAAAATCTGGTCCTGTGCTCTATAATAACTTACTGTGTAGGACTAGGAGTCTTGAGCTTGGCCTTCCCTTCCCTTTGTGTAATTGTAGGAACATTGGTTCCATTCACCAAACTGTGTTCAGCTCCTCCATTTGAAAAGCTTTTGCGAAAAGTGTGAAATCTCATGTCTGCCATATGAGATAACCCACCTAGAAGCAGTCTGCTCTCGTGCCGAGACAGTTTCCTCACCTCATATATAAACATTTCTATGCTTTTCAGGAGAACATGGCTTCACTGATGAGCTCCAAGTTTGCATTTCAAAGAACAGTGGGGAAAGGCAGAAAGTCTTTTATTTAAGCAGCTGGGGAGAGAGAGACAAAACCCCCAATTTCACTGAAAGGCTACAGCAAACTGAGATCACACTTTTAACAAGCTTCTGCGTGGTGTGTCTGGCTGCTTCATTGACTAGCACTGCTCTTAGAGCCAGCACTTCTTTCTCGTTGCGCCATGCTGCATTTCATCTCCAACATCTGTCTTGGACCCTGGACACAATATTAGTGCTGGTTTTTACAGCAGCTTCTTTTGTCCAGCATAACACTAGCCACTTGAGCTGTCTGTTCCCTGGCATGCTGTTCTCTCTTTATGAGATAGGCATTAGTTGATAAAACATGGTACATTACAGAGACAATGCCATTCAGGCTTTTCTGTGACTGGCTACTTTGACGCTAACAGTCATCTATTTAAAATTAATAAAAGCTAGGCTTGCTCCTATTTGAATAAAGCAGACCCACATGCACGTGTTCCTCCACAATTTCCCCCATAATCATCCAAGCACATCCAAGACCGTGCTCCTTCTGTCTCAGGCCAGGTGGCTGCTAAAAATAGAGGGGAAAAAAGCTGCAATTTTTTTATTAAAGAGAAATCCTCTGTATAAAATTGCACTCCTGAATTTTTTATACCCTTTATCTTTTGGGCCTTGAGTCACTCAGGCAGAAAAAAAAATGAGGGAAAAAATGTTCCTTCCCCTCCATTTTTACTGCCCTCGAGTGTGTTTCTTTAGTGCAGCTGACAGAAGCTTGCATTTGATTTCTGTCAGCTAGGCATTTTTAACTTTACATGGTACTTTCATCATGTGTCAATAAAAGACTAAACACACCCAAGGGATAGTCAAATAAAAATTAAGAACTAGCATAGAAATGTTGAAATCCCATCTATTCCTCTTCTATTTCCTCTTATAACGCATAAATTTCCTCTGCATTCATTTGATGTCTGAATAGTGTTCTAGGATAAACTGACCCACTTCAACCTGCCGTAACTGATTCACGCTCCAAATACTATTTGTGAGATAAAGTTACAGGATAAGGGACATGTGAACATGACAGGCTGACAGATAAGGAATTGGGGGAGCAGAGTGAAGCGTCTTGTCCAATATCACAGAAGAAACTCATGATGAACATAAAACTGCACTTGGAATTCCTCAGCCTCGGTCTAATCCGTTAGGCAATAAGATTTTCCTTGCTTCCTTTTAAGGCTTTTTAATGGGCTCGCTTCAAGATGATGATACTCTTTTGGAAAAGGAATTTCAGATTAAAAATAATGATTTTACTAAGTATTTCCTTGCCTCCTTCTCAAAAGATGAAACATTTGTCTTTATGTTAATAAATCTTGAATCTACTAATCCTGTAAATATTTATTTTCCCGATGCCTGTGAATAACAACAGACAAACAAATTTTTCTAACCACCTTCCCTTGAGGATTCAAAAGCAGGAGGAGGTGATGAAATAGTACAATATGTGTTAGAGATATGAAAAAAATACTATTTTCTTTGCTCCTTCTGTAATTTTTCTCGCACATCTTCTAAGATCACACAGCTAATGCAAATAACCTGCTTGTGCAAATTCCAGGGAGAAATACATGCTCTTTGCATAGGCTTACTCTATGGTCTATACAACATATTCCATCCACATACCGAAAAAAAGAACCTACATGGCCAAAAAAGGTTCAGCTGCAACACAGACAGATGCAGATGTTTCAGCTGCAGAGTATGGCTCTGCTCTCTCCTGAACTTGTTGCAGGCCTGGCAGGGCATGCTCAGCAGCCATGGCAAGGACAGTGTCACCCAGGAGCACAGGGCACCCCTTGGCCCGTGGCCCATGCTGGCAAGGGCAGCGCTGCTGTCACAGCCCTGGGGTTTGCGCCGTGGCTCTGCAGACAGAACTGCCTTAGCTGCTTGCAGCTGCAGACTTTGCTCCCTTTTCCCCTTCTATTTTCTGCCCCTCTCACTTCTCTTCTGCAATGCCAGCTCTCCATACAGAAGAACCTGTAGCACTGCTTTAGAAGAATTAAACCGCTTTCATAGAAACAGATACTGTAAACTTCTACAGCTGGTGCACAAAGCACGTGTGTTCTGCTGTCAGATCAGACAGGTAGAAACCTTGTCGTGTTCAAAGGACTCCTGTTGCCCAAGCTTCTTTGCTTCTCAGCCTCATAAACACTCAAAAGTATGGTATTTAGCGTCATTGGTACAAATTGTCTTCAGCTGCCTTTGAGAAATAAATTGCTCTAATGAAAATCACCAGTATTTTTTGGCTAGAGAACAATTTTCTGGAAAATGAAACGAGGTTGCTTTCATTGCTGAATGGAAAGATTTGTGTCCCACTCCCAGCGCTCCACTGGAGAGATGGTCTGTCTCATTTTCCGTGACTGTTTGGAGCAATGACTGACCTACTGTAGGTACCGGAGACATGGGAGAAGAATCTGAGACCACATTATCTGCCCAAGTCCATGGAGATTTTAAATTGCTCGCCTTCAGAATGGTGTCATTTAAGTCGGTTTCCATAGGGAAATGGAAAGTATGTTCACATACAACAACATTTAGGAGGCCAAAGGGCTATGTCCTGTATGGTTGTGAGCATTCTGGCCTCAAGCCAGCACATTTTTAAAGTCTATGCTTACTTTTAAGTATGTTGAGGTCTGCATAACTTGCATGTTTAATATACAAGCTTAGATGGCGTGCAGGATTTGAACCCAAGCAGGATAGTGCTGGCAGTTTCCAAAGAGGCAGAATCATGACGTGTCGGTGTGTAAAATTGCATATGTCTAAGCAGGCATGAGTGTCTGGTGTGGTATATGTGGTGTTTTGTAGGATGTGCAGTGAAGTGGGTATTTGTGCAGTGAGGTGGTAGACTGGGATGAGGGAAGGCTCCACTGATAAGGGCTACACCCACGCAGCACGTGTGAGAATTTACTGGAGCGTTTTTCTGTGGCTGTTTGCCTCCAGATTATGGGTTATGTATGATCTTGATTAAAAGGCTGGATTCAGTATGGCTCTTTATCCTCCAGCACTGTCCTCCGCATATGTCAGGCTCAGCCCAAGCTAACATATCTTAGAATAGAGTTAAACCAGCACTAGCCCAAAGACTCATAAATCCAACCTAAATTCAAGCAGAGCCCAGGAAAAACTGATATGCTACCTTCATTTTCAAAGAGGGAAGAAATTTGTATGCGAATGCATGAATATAGATGTAGGAGATGAATTTTAAGGATTTAGTCTGTGGCTATCCCACGTTTATGTTTGCATTATAGAAGTGTTCATGCGAACAGTAAGGATGTTTGGGTAGAAGGTGTGTTCATTTATATTGTTTTGTTGGGTTGTTGGCAAATTTAAGAAGATAAATAATTCAGTGAATGCTGAAACTCACACAGCATGGTTTCCTGTACCCATGTGAGCCCCTAAGGAAGAGTTTCCTGATGTTGGAGCATCAGTAAGATCTCTCTCATGCAGATTCCCTGGTACCTAACAAAATATGAGTCTGTGCAGCTGCTTTTCTCACTGTCAGGGCCACAATCTCTCTCCTCTTTCCCCAGAAGTTCCCTTTAAATTAGTAGGAACTCTTAAAATCTCATCTCCCCCATTAGTCAAATTTGGTGACAATTTTGGGTGACAAGATCAAAAGATTTTGGGGACTGGAGAGAGGGGGGCAAAGAGACCACAGACAGCACAGTTGCATAAACACGGTTCCCACAGGAAAATAATCTCAAATTCCTACATAAAATTCTTCACTTGAAAAGGCCGTTTTTCAGGTCTAAAAGGTTGTCACGTGAAAAATATTGACAAGTTTCTGTAGTCTCTTCTTTTGAGTGTGTCAGTAAAGCCCCTTGTTCACAGCAAAGGTTATAAACCCTCCAGTCTTCATTGTGTC